ATGCAGGCCGTCAGGGCCGTCGGTCATCTCCAGCTCGCGGAGACCAGACTCCAGACCTTGCAGATGGCGCCGTTCCCTCCTCCAAGCGGCTTTGCGCTTGATCAACTTCTTGACGGCCTCGGCCTTGTCGCGCTGCAGGTCGGCGCCGTCCATCCACTCGGGCTTGGCGTCGCTGTAATGGCATTCGATCTCGAGGGACAGGCAGGCGGCGCATACTGGGCGTTCCTCATCGCATTTCTTGCGTCGCAGTCGACAGGTCCAGCAGCCGTCGGAGCTGCGCGGCTTCGAGGGCAGCATGCTGGTCGCTTGCCCTTTGTCTTGCCCGGTTCGGGGGGTGTGCTGGGCGTTGGATGCTCGAAGTCGGGCGGTCGAAGGTGGCGTGCCATCTCGTCGCGCGCCACGTTGGATCAAGCAGCATAAGCCAAGATGGTGGGGGAGAAAGGCTTGCGGGTTGGGGGCTACGCGGATTTGTAATATCTGCGCCTCACTGAACCCGCGCTACACAGCACAATGTTGTCACATGTGCTAGCGAGCCCAGGTACTAAATAAAATGCATGCCACAGCACGCTCGTTTCGGCGATTCCGTCACGTTCCTCATGCCAACCACTCGATTGTGGGCGAGGTGCTTGTGGTAGATGGGGCTTAAACACCAACGAGTGGGCGGGGGTGGCCAAGTTTTGCGTTTTGCGTTTATGTACAGTCTGACGGAGTTCAACAGAATATTCGCTGATGAAAGGCCTTTGGCGCAAAGGTAGCGCGTCCGCCTCCTATTCGTAGCGAGCGGAAGGCTGTGGGTTCGAGTCCCATGAGGCCTGGCAGGAACTGTGTCATGTTCCTTTCTTTTTGCGACATCTGACCTCCATCCAACCGTCACTGCATGGGTTCTTTCCACAACACCAAAGGTGCTTGCACGGGATAAACCCCGCGCCTGTCAGCTGCACCGTCCTGGGTATAATAAATAGCACTTTCCTTTTTATTTAATAAAACTTCCACAGCTTTTAAACCAATTAACCCGCTCGGTCCTTCTTGCTGGACGGTGGAAACTGCACTCCCGCTTTGAAGCTTAACCCAGGGCCACCAGGGCAGGGCGGGGTTGTAAGGAGCTCAGCTGGAGGAGGAATAACACACCACTCCGCCACTCCGCATAAAAATAGCTTTGCGAAGGAAAGTCGCCCATTCACACCGCCGAATTCCTATTAGCAAAACGGAACGGCCGCAACCGGGGATTGAACCCGGGACCTCTCGCAAGAAGCTAAGGGTGAACCCTAAGCGAGAATCATACCACTAGACCATCGCGGCGCTGTTGCGGTGACTGCGTTTGTAACCTTATCTTCCTCATGGTCTGCGTTTCGCTTGTCCACGTAGCATGGCCGCATCATCTTAATACTGTGTTTATTATAAGAAATTAGCAAGTACGGCGGACCCGAGTGAAACTCGAGTCGGCGTGTGGCTCGCTCCCTGTCTGTTAAGCAAAATTATTAAAAGCAGTGTGGCCGGGGGAAGCTCAGCACCAGGAATGAACACCGTTCAATTGCGGAAGGTCGTCAGACTGGTGCATTTGAAACGGGCGCCAGCTGCCTATAAACTCGGACTGGCTTTGACATGAGTCCAATCCAACCGGGACTTACCCGGCGTATAACAACAGCTCGATCCTGCCAGGCCGGCGGATGACGAGAATGCCCAGAGGCAGTCTTCCCGCTTGTTAAAAGCCAAGGCAGTCAGCTTCGGGGTGGAAAGCTTGCACGGTCGAAACTCGCGGGCATGGAATATCGACAAGCACACAATTTAAAGCCCGTGCGTAAAATGAAAATGGTACCAAGCCAGCTGCCGCATAAGCGGATGACAATAAACGCGGCAAAACTTGTATATAGAGGCAGGTAAACCCGTCGCAGAAACCGCATCGCCGAAGCTCAAACTAACCATCGCCAGCGGCTGTGCAGCCTGTCATTCCCGTCATGAGCCGTCCCCACCGCTACGCCTTGCTCGACTTAGGCCAGCGTCCACCGCCATGCCGTCATCGAGCTACGATTGGCCCAATGGTCTAGTGGTATGATTCGTCCTTCGGGTTACTTTTCAACTCGTTCTAGTCTTCCCAGAACACACCTGGACGAGGCCCCGGGTTCGAATCCCGGTTGGGCCCCAATCTATTCACTTTTGCTCGTTCGTTTTGCTCAATCCGCTGACTTGCGGCTGCTCTTGGTGTTAACACGTCCACGTCCTAACAACCGGAGTTTTTATCGTCGTATTGCCCTGCTATTTTATTTTGCGATACTCTTGCTAATTATATTAAAAGATGGTGGGTTGGTTTAACGCAGGGCAGGGGAGCAATCTACTGCACTTTTGTAACAGCGCACGGCAACATCACCACGTCGTTATCCAAGACTAAACAGTCGGGTGCTAAATATATGTACTTGAGATAGCGACATTACACTAGTAGATAAAATACACTTGAACGCCTGTCGTCCCTCCTTCCCGGCCATCATACAACTTGACTTCGTTTGCAGGCCATTCATTACCCGCTCAAGCAAATCCAGCCATCCAGTCCAGCCCCGCCCACAAAGCCCAACTTTCCCATCCTTTTTTTTCCCTTCCCAAAAGACCGCTACTTTTCGGCAAGGATTGCTTTTGTAACACAAACCTGCAAACCGGAACAAATAAAGAGAGGGAAAGCGGGCGCAAAAAAAAAAGTAAACCTAAGAACTAGTATCCAACCGACCAGAAAACGCCGAGTCCAAAAGAAGACTAAAAGCAAATCATCCAGGCCCAAACGTGATTCATGTCCGATACGTTGATTAGAGAGTGTTGCTTTTCCCCCTTCTTTTATTAGAGGGCTAGTCCTGTGCCATCACCGGTCCATCGGTATAGGGCTAGGAGCTCGCGGCGGCGCTGGTGCTGCTCGCCGAGGTCCTCAGGCACACGCCCGCGGACCTGGGCCAGCGCACTGCGCATCACCTTGCTGAAGTTGCGCTGGTGAACGGGTGAGGATGTTAGCAAGCAGATCATGGCAGTCCGAGGTAAGAAAAATACGGCAAGACAGCAGCAAACTAACCTGGTATTCGGTGTTGAGTGTCACCACGCAAGCCTCGTGGGCGCGTATGATGGTCTCGCAGGCCTTGACGACACTGGGGTTCGCCTCGCTCTGGAGCTTGTCGGCAATGAGGAGGAGCAGGAAAGATCCCTGCAGCAGGTAGATTCCAAAGAAGAAGGGCATGAACTCGAGGCCCGGGTCGAATTCGAGTATGTTGCTGATGGCCTCGGCCGCCTCGACGGCGTGGCCCGTGGCGCTGAAGAAGCCCTGCGAGCTGATCCACAGGTCGTTGTCGTCCAGCAGGTTGATGGGGTCCCATTTGCCAGACAGCAGGATGTGCAGCACGTGCATGACGTGCGTGCCGTACGCCATGACGATGCGCGTCTGCACGTCCGACTCGGTCAGTCGCGGGTGGTGCTGTTGCTGCTGCGACGGCGGCGGCTGCGACGTCGAGTGCACGCTGTGCACCGACAGGGC